TGACATTGCAGTAAATCGCGCTGATTAAATCTAACAATCGCTTATCATATCACGCAAAACCGTGCAAATTATACTTTGTTCTCAAGTTGTTAATGTTAACAACGTCAGCATTGCGTGACTACATGTAATGCTATGTATCCTTCCGATATGTGTCCTTGTTTTCGCATGGGATTGCAGTCTCTTCTTTCTGTAGCTGCTCCAAAGTCCGAACGAAGTCTTTTGCATTTTACAGCTGGTGAATCTCTAGTTGTCACTGGTGATTGTCGTTTGAACCTTTCTGGATCCGCCATCAAATTAATAAGTTTAATTATATCAAGAGCTGTGAGAAAAGCATCCTCACACGCAATATAGCTTATACTAGCCGAGACTCTTCTTTATGTGTACAGATGTGACGTCATGACTCAATATAGCCTACTAGCCGAGACTCTTCTTTATGTGTACAGATGTGACGTCATGACTCAATATAGCCTACTAGCCGAGACTCTTCTTTATGTGTACAGATGTGACGTAATGACTCAATATAGCTTATACTAGCCGAGACTCTTCTTTATGTGTACAGATGTGACGTCATGACTCAATATAGCCTACTAGCCGAGACTCTTCTTTATGTGTACAGATGTGACGTAATGACTCAATATAGCTTATACTAGCCGAGACTCTTCTTTATGTGTACAGATGTGACGTCATGACTCAATATAGCCTACTAGCCGAGACTCTTCTTTATGTGTACAGATGTGACGTCATGACTCAATATAGCCTACTAGCCGAGACTCTTCTTTATGTGTACAGATGTGACGTCATGACTCAATATAGCCTACTAGCCGAGACTCTTCTTTATGTGTACAGATGTGACGTCATGACTCAATATAGCCTACTAGCCGAGACTCTTCTTTATGTGTACAGATGTGACGTAATGACTCATTATAGCCGACTAGCCGAGACTCTTCTTTATGTGTACAGATGTGGCGTAATGACTCAATATAGCCTACTAGCCGAGACTCTTCTTTGTGTACAGATGTGACGTCATGACTCAATATAGCCTACTAGCCGAGACTCTTCTTTATGTGTACAGATGTGACGTAATGACTCAATATAGCCTACTAGCCGAGACTCTTCTTTATGTGTACAGATGTGGCGTAATGACTCAATATAGCCTACTAGCCGAGACTCTTCTTTGTGTACAGATGTGACGTCATGACTCAATATAGCCTACTAGCCGAGACTCTTCTTTATGTGTACAGATGTGACGTAATGACTCAATATAGCCTACTAGCCGAGACTCTTCTTTATGTGTACAGATGTGATGTAATGACTCAATATAGCTTATAGCCGAGACTCTTCTTTATGTGTACAGATGTGGCGTAATGACGCAAAGACATGCTCGAATCTCCCGCGGAAATCCACCAGTACCACTGGAATTAAAAACATTATTACAAGCTTACCGTTTTGAATCGAGCTACGGCAAGCAGAGAGTTTTGAACACTGGCTGGTTATGCATTTTCTCAAATATGTATTTTGGATCATTTTTAACCCAAAAAAGCTACGGACTGCAGCAAAAATACTTTATTAACATTATTAGTGAATCTCAAGGAACAAATTATTATTAAAAAAATCATCTCATGTACCCTTTTTAAGTGAAGCAAAAACTGAATGGCAATAAACACAGTTAATGCATGCATCTCTTCTATGAAAGCTCGTTTCCTCCACTGAATAAAAAAAAGAAAAAGTTATTTTTTCTAAGAATTGCGTGTTATAAAGTCAGAATTGTGAAAGATAAATTCGCAATTCTGAGAATAAAGTCAGTCTTTTTTTCACTCTCAGAATTGGACTTTATAACTTGCAACTGCGAGTTTATACCTAAAAATTCTGAGAAAAGAAAGCAGAATTGCGAGAAAGCCAAAAATGCACGTTTATATCTTGTAATTTTGACTTTATAGCTCCCGCAATTCTGAGAAAAAAGTCAGAATTGTGAGAGAAAAAGTTGCAATTATCTTTTAAATTGTTTTATTCCCTGGTGGAAACAAGCTTCCATACTCCTCTGGTGTCTTTCTTTCTTTGAATTTTAATAGAGTAAAACTCAGTTTCTGTTATAGCAGTTTATCTGTCTCTCTTCTGATTTGTTTTCTGGTTGTGGTGGTTAAATGTGAATCTCTCAGGTGAAGACTTCTCTACAGGGTAGTAAAGGGCACACGCGCTCTCAAAAACCGCGGGAGAGGAAGACCGTAAGTGCTCTGGGGCGGTTCAGTCGCTCATCTGTGTGAAAAGCATGTGAATGGAGCCTGGAGAAGCGTGGATCATACACACATTTCTGCTTGACTCATCCAAAACAGTCTGTTTACTGTGTGACTAGTGTTTTTATGGGGGGGGGTTACACATTAAGGGCACAGACGTCATGCATGACTGTGTTTTCATGCATTGGTTTAAAGTTTTAGCCTTCACCAAAGTAAATTGCATGCAAATCAAGTGCAAATTTTTATTTTATTTCAATGATTCATATCCTGCTATAAATGCATTCATCTGGTTTCCTGTGGTTTTTAATTGGTTGACAAACCTTTTGTTGGGCATGTCTGCAGTCGCAGCCCTGCATGGTGTGATTTTTAACAGTCAGCTCTCTGTATGAGATGTAATTCACTAATGTTCAGTTCTCCTCCATCTGATTTGCAGAGTCAGAATGCCAGTAAGTCTGAGGATCAGGGTGAGCTGGTCTCTCGTTTCAAGAGTCTAGAACTGGACAACAAGAATCTGCACAAAGGTACATATGAGAGAAGACTGAGATATGGCTGTTCCAAAACCTAGCAAGTTTCCTACCTAGAAAGCAATTTTCTAGTTCTTGACCTGAAGGCTGTTGGATGCTGTTCGTGCACAACAGCGATTTTGGAGTGACTTGAAGTCAAGACACGGTGATTGTTAGCGATGCAATGTGGGATTGTCCATAAATGCACAATTCCCACAGGCTTTCCTACCCACTAAGACCAACATAAAAAACCTATGTGGACAGTGGGGTTTGGACAAAACTTGGACACACACACCATACACTAGGGTTTGGAACAGATTGACACAGTTTGAGCATATTGTGATCAGTGTGAGATTAATGGTGCGTTTGGTTTATCAGTGGTGGATGATCTAAGAGCCGCGCTGTCCAAACTGGAGGCCAGAATGGCCACGCTGGAGAAAGGCCAATCGCCGGCTTCAAAGTCTGTTACCGTCACCAAGGTAGTTGTGAGATACTGCCAACTTGAAGTCAATATTAACGAGGCCGCCTTTGTGCATTAAGCAAATACAACCGTAATTCTTCACATACCATGTATATTGTTTTATCTGAAGGCTGCTCCTGTCCAGAAGCCCAAGGTTGAGAAACATAACGGTGCTGACGATGATGACGACATCGACCTGTTTGGCAGTGATGAGGAAGATGAGGAGGCCGAGCGTATCAAAGCAGAGAGGGTGAAGGAGTACTCCCAGAGGAAAGCCAAAAAACCAGCCCTCATCGCCAAATCATCCATCCTCCTGGACGTCAAACCTGTACGAGACCTTCAGCACACACAATCCTTAACCTAACAACTATAATTTCTTCCTGCTGAGTTCTAGTTTTGAATATATCATGTTTCTTTCATTGATCAGTGGGACGATGAGACCGATATGTCCAAGCTGGAAGGGTGTGTGCGCTCCATACAGATGGACGGGCTCCTGTGGGGAGCTTCGAAGCTGGTTCCTGTCGGCTACGGCATCAAAAAGCTGCAGATCAACTGTGTGGTAGAAGACGATAAAGTAGGAACTGACATTCTGGAAGAGGAGATCACCAAATATGAGGACTACGTAAGTGCACAATGTTTTTGGTTGAATCATGATTAAAAAAAAGTTCTCGTCACTTTTGATTTTCAATTAAACATTTTTTTAGGGCTTTTTTGTTTTTTTTCACATTTTCTCATCCAATTTCCATTACTGTAATGTGTCCAGACATTGTACTTTAGCATTTTTACTTTATTATAGTAATTGTTTTATATGCTGTAGAACAATACTGATTATATTATAATAATGATGTATATTTTACAAATGTGTTTATATATTTATTGCATTAGTCATTTTTATAAAATGGAGGAAAACATTAACTTGATATTCATGAAAATAACTCTAAATAAGATTATTAAAGAAATAATTATAAGAAAAAATATAATGAAAAAACATCACATTGACAAGAACCATATTAGACTAATAGCCTTAATTTAGGCATTATATATGATACAATTTATTTAAAAAGAAGATTTATATGTCAGTATAAAATCGGTATTTTAGTGCAATAAAACTATTTTTATGTGTGTATTTATTGCTTTATAGAAATTTTAATAAAAGGAAAACTTCTGAAGAAATATTTACGTAATTATCATTAAAGTAAATCGCTTTATTATATAAATGATATGAAATTAAATGTATACATTTATTGCATATTTATCACAATGACAAAAAAAGTTTTTTTTTGTTGTAATTTTGTGAATTGCAGCGGAATACTGATGATTTTATATTTATGTATAAACAATTTACAAGTGTGTGTATATTGCATTAAAGTAATTTTAATAAAATAATTCAGGAAAAGTTGAGGACAAATCAACTTAATTGTAAGGAAAATAGAAATAAGTTATATAATTTTTTTATGAAATATTATATATATATGCTGTGTGTATCAGTACATTATTTATGACGATGACAAAAAACATATTGGTCTTCAATTATGTACGTATACATTTTAAAATACACCAGTAAATTTATGTTTGGGTGAAAAATGAACGGAAATGTTTGTGACTTTTACTCTTTGATAAGATTTATAAAATGTTTTTAAAAAGTTTTATTGACCAAAACTACATTCATTCCTGATTTTGTTGTAGGTCCAGAGTGTCGATATTGCTGCCTTCAACAAGATCTGAGCCTCTCACCATGAAGAACCACCTCACACTGGGTTATGCTGCTTTTATATCACACGGTTTCCAATAAACTGTTCAGCCACGTTAACAAACTCACTGTATTGACTCTTTATTTGTATGCTCTTTATTCCTGTCCTGGTTTTACAAGTTTCCATTATATTCATTCTTTATATTTTAACTATTATTCTTTATTTAAAGGGTTAGTTCACCCAAAAATGAAATCTAAAATGTAACAAAGATATATTGTGGTCAGAGTGCTCCTTTTCATAACGGTTGCATGGGCGGCCGGTTTTACAATAACGAGCCACTGGAAGAAAACAAACAACATGAAGGTGAGTGAACAATGACATGCTTTTGATTTGTGGGTGAACTGTCTGTTAAACAAAATGAGAGCACAGAATGCATTACTAAGCTGAGAAGCTGAAAGTTCGACAGAGTTTCAAAGTGGACCCCAGTCCAACCCAGAAACCAGGGTAGAGAGGTTGGGTAAACATAGTCTGCTCTCGATGCAGCAAAAACATGGTATTATCTGCCAGAGAAACGCTATAAAACGCAAGAGTTCCAGCGCCGCGATCGAGATACACGCCGACTCTGTGTGCTGTTGGAGTGTGTATTTCTACACTAAACTTACTGTGCCGGAACAAACAAAGACAATCGGAGAAATCTAAACTCCACGATTTTGAGTTGCATCCCAGTTTTCGGTCCATATTCCCTCCAGTTCTGGGAATTGATTTGTAGGAAACTCCAATAGAAGCTCCTCCAGCACCTCCCCACTCCACCTCCCAGTATCCGCATCCAGACAGAGCTTCAGTGCACAGGACCTGAGCCCAGCTGCTGAAGCGCTCTGGGTGATCCGGGTACGGCTGAGGCTCGTGGACCGTCGTGACCTCGGTGTGATCTCCAGAAAGACGGAGGAAAAAGTTGGCGGTGTTTGGGTCTAATGTCAAATCACAGCAGTCTGAAAGAGGAAAGATACTTGGCTAATAAGTCTCGGCTAATAATTTACATTATTACATGGCTCTCTGGAGTCTTATATTCTGATTGGTCAGTTATTCCCCGATAATGACCATCATCAATAGCACTGCTGTGTAATGACTGCTCATTTGAGGCCAGCGCTGCTTTCTCACGTTTACACCACAGATCTTGCACCTCAATTATCGACTATTTACTGTCAAATGAAACCGATGGCTTCAGAATTAATATTAGGCCTGCAGAAATATTTTTGAAGTGTTCGTCTAGTTGCTTGAACGATTGTACACTGATTGTAAAATTTGAAAACTGTTTCTTCTCAAATCAATATCCTGTCCCTTCATGTGGTGAAAAGCTGTATAATATGTGATACGACTGTAGTTCTTGTCTGAAGTTCTTGTTCAAGCTTTTTGGTCTATGCTCAATGCTGCTAGCCAGGAACTTTTCTTTGGGGAAACTTCTTTTAAGGCATAATCCACTTCCTCCAGGTCGTGCATTTATCGTTTAATGCACAGCTTGCAAAGAACCACTCGAATCGAAATGCATTTAAATCAATTAATAATGCGTAGCTAGCCATGGATTATCACGCCTATACCGCGGACATTTGCCAGCATTGGTAAGTTAAAACTGACTTGATGATTGCTGTGCAATATTTGATTGGAAAAGTAAAAATGCAGGTTACTTTCCTCAGTTACGGCTTGTCAGATCTATTCTGCCTGCTTTGAATCAGGCACAGATATAGTAGTGCGGTAAGATTACATTTATTTAAATAATTATAGCACTTGCTTGAATTATCGAGAGAAAGATGCGTGTGTGAATTACCTGCATCTGTGCAGTGTCTTAACAAGCTGTGAGGTTAATAACTTCAAAAACAGCGATGTTACCACCTCGCTGAGAAATATAATGTAGCGTTAGTAGCGAAGCTATTTTATTAATAAAAGTTACAGGGCAGCGTTGATATCAAGTTTCTGTGCTCTGGAATGTTTTTGTGTGTGATCTCTGCACGCTTCAATGAAATCAGCGCTTTAAGAATGCTGATTAAACTAACTGGAAGTACATGTGGATTAAACGGTTTTAATGCATACCTTCCAGCCAATCAAAATCAATGGTCCCACTTTATATTAGGTGTCTTTTAACTGTGTACTAACATTAAAGGGGTGGTATAATGCCCTTTTCACAAGATGTAAAATAAATCTCTGATGTCCCCAGAGTATGTATGTGAAGTTTTAGCTTAAAAAAACCCACAGATCTTTTTATATAGCATGTTAAAGTTGTCACTTTTTGAGGGTTAGCAAAAACACACCGTTTTGTGTCTGGCCCTTTAAATGCAAATGAGCTGCAGCTCCCGATACAGTGGGCGGAGCTTCAAGAGTGTGTGTGTTAGCAGCTCCGATTACCTCACGCAGACACATGCTAAAATGTCAGAAACTGTTCTGCCTTTTATGTTTAAACCGGAGTCAGACAAAGATGGAGAGACTAAGAAGAAGTGACAACATGTAGAATGCAAAAGGACATCTCTGAATGGTTAGTTGATGAATTTATGTTGCTGATGTGGAGTTAACTATCTTCAATTAGCATATTCTGTCAGGATAATCTATAAATCGCTCATATAGGAACTGTGAGATGCACACAGAGTAACTTTCTATTGCATGTGAAAAGACGGATGCTACAGTTTGAGCAGCTGACTCACAAATGTGCTTGACTACAACAGCTCTTCCTCTTCTCAACATGGACTGCGTGTTCCCGGGGGCGGGGTTTATGTAAATTTTAGGCTTAGTGATGTCACTAACCCGGGAGGAAGCTCGTGTAGTTCCTACCAGCCGTTAGTTGTAGTCCTTAAAAAACAATTTCTTTAAAAGCAAATATCTCCCTTTGCTTTGAACTTTGAGCGTTGTAACTTTGCAGATGTTGTTTATGCTCAAACAGCAACATTACACACTAACTAAAGTTAGAAAAGTGAAATCATAATCATAAAAATAATGAAATTAGAAAGATACACAACATTCTAGGCAGTAAAAACTAAACAAACAATAAAAATAGAAGGCCGATATAATAACAAACACAGCAATCACACAAATCACATAAAAGCCACCCAAAAAAAGTACGTTTTAAGGGACGATTTATCTGTCCCCTAAATCTGTCCCTTCTGTGTCCCACCTCAGTAGCAGAAAAAGTGTTTTGCAATGCAACATAAACACAGTATATATATATATTGTACATATTTGTTGATGCAAGTAAGTAAATAAGTTAAATATACCTAATATAAAGTGTATGTGTGTGTTCAATTAAAGCAGCGCATTAATATAGAATGGTGATTAAACTGACTGGAACTACCCGTGCATTAAACAGTTTTAATGCGCACCTTCCTGTATTCAGGGTATTCAGGTAGGCCATGGTATAATATTTCAACTCAAAATTACTTATGCGCAAAGTAGCTGTGGAATAAGCGGGATAATGTTCATTCAGCTTCGTGTCGGGGGTTCTGAACAGTGAACACCCTGTCAGGGTTTATTTTGCAAAAACATCCAGCTGGATGTACATTACCTTGTACATGATAACCAATGGGTGCTAAATCAGAACTCACATTGTAAGAAGTCTCCTCTGGTCCTCGCCTCAGTCTGTTGTAAATGTCTATGGGCTGGAAAAGGTCAGAGAGTTGAATTACGTCAGATGCATTTAACTTACAGCGGTAAACATGGTTGAGTTGATGTGGTTTGATGACTCACTTGCTGGGAGGGATGTGAGTGTCCGTACCTGTTTCAGTGTTCAACGGACAACTCGGGGAGTTTTCAGCTGACTGATCGTGCTCATCAACTGTAAATATAAAAGTGTTCGCTGTCAACAGCCGTTTGTGCATCAGCAGATGATAGAATGCAAAGCAGGCGTCGGCTCTGGAGGACTAGATCTCGTGGATCTGTGTTTATATACTCACCTAATTCTGAGATCTTTGTCGATTCTCTGTCACAGACCTCGCTGACTTTATCTCTCAGCTCTGTCAGAGCTTTTCTCAATATCAGCAAAGGAAAGTACGGATGGACATCAATGCTGGGCCGACCTCCAGTGTCAGGTGGAGCACAGAGCATCTTATAGTTCTGCACAGGTGAGTCAGACAGGTAAAGTTAGTGTGTTAATGTACAAGCAAACACACACCTTTTTATTCGCTGCACGGCCCAAATTCCCCTACAGACTATAAACAAAGAGAATGACAGCAACGTATGAGTATCGTAACCTCCAGCACAAACAAACAAATTGAGTTGATATTTCAGACTTCACCTGTAGGAAATGGATATGATCCTCAGTGTTTGAGAGCGCCTCTAGCTCGGCCTCTCCTCTTCTTTGTTCAACCATCTGTTGACTCAGTCGTTCTAGAAGCTTCTCCGTCTGGCCGAGAGCTGTCCTCTCCTCACCTCTGATCTGCTCTTTCACCTCCGAATGCTTCTTTTCAACGGTGCGCAGCAGTCGGATGAAGATCTTTTCACTGTCCTCCTCAAACGCTTGTGCAGAACGCTATTGCAATGACAGAAAGGGTTGTTTAACCCTCTGGTCCTGTTCACTCACAGGTCACACTCACACTGTTCGCTAACAGAACGAATACTAGAAATGTGTCTTTTTTTAAACAAAAAGAATGTGCTATATTTTTCTTCCTTCGTATTTTTTTCATTCATATTTTGTGTTTTGAGAGCATTTCATGGTAAGCTACTAAAAAAATATTGATCTCTAAATAATGCCCCATTTATTCAATTTAAAAATGTACAATCATTAGGATACATTTCTCAATACATAGGTCAATTTTTTTCACAAAGTTCTAACTAACTTTCAGCTTTCAAGTTCACATCCATAATGCACTAAACCTCCGGAACACTTCATACATCAACTCTTCTATAGACCTTATGTAGCCCCGCCCCTTTTCAGCGCTGCGCTCGTTGTCTTTTGACTTCCGGTCTGTATTTTCACAGCGATCTTGCATAGGTATGAATGAACAGCTTGTAAAAAAAATCCCCGGTCGACATTTGTTAAAGGGGTCATATAATGCCATTTTTGTACAAGCTAATATGATTCTTTAGGGTCTAAATTAAAAGTTTCTTACAATACTAACTTTAATTAAAAATTGTCATTAGTATTGTAAGAATGCACGCTGCACGGGCGGCAGTGGTTCATGTAGGTTGTCTACAAACCGGAAGGTTGGTGGTTCAATCCCCGGTTCCACCTGACCAAGTGTCGAGGTGTCCATGAGCAAGACACCTAACCCCAGCTGCTCCCGACGAGCTGGATGGCTGCCGTCGCCCGTCGGTGTATGAATGAGTGAGTGAATGGGTGAATGTGAGGCAAATTGTAAAGCGGTTTGGTGGCCATTGGGTCTGTGAAAGTGCTGTATAAATGCAGTCCATTTACCATTTACCAAGAAAACAGTTATTTTACCTGGTCAAAAACAGCTCTGTTTTCAGCACGCCATTTCAGTGCATATGACTTTAAATGATAATGAGCTTTGCTCACCCCGCCTCTCTGTTGTGTGCTACACCATAACTCAATAACACAACAACCATAACGCGTTGTTCAGTATAAACGTGGGATTATGAATTATATTGAGAACGTCATACATAGAAAACATGCCGTAATGTACCCTGAGTGTAAACCTTAGCCGCATTCATGGTGAAGCGTGCAGCTAGCGATTTGCAAAGATTAATATATTAATATAAAGTTTAATAAAACGTTACACTCACTTCCGTTCTTCTGGAGATTCAGCAGGAACACGAATAGCTGGTACCGATCCTTTTTTCATGAGCAGCTTCTTAGCAAATCCAGCTTTATACTGATCCTCGTTTATAAAGCAGTCTGCTGAGAAATGATTCGCGCAAACATGAAAGCATTGACGTTGCTCGTGGGGAATATTCCCTTCGAAAACAAACTCAGCCACTGCGTCTTCATCGGTTCGGATTTAGGAACATTAAAATGACTGTGTTCGTTATTACACCCAAGAACAGAACACCACAATCGCTTAGACGCCATTCTGCTCATAGACAGTGCTCCAGCATATCAACAATGACCGCACCGGTCCGCGCCGCGCAGACTATTATTGACAGCTGAGCTCCCTCATGAGCGAGGGCGGGTCTGTGTTGAAACGCTGCTGTCAATCAACAATCGTGGGAGGGGCGTGCGAGCCTGTGACGTCACAGGCTCGAACGGCTCGATTTGAGGCAGGGGAAAACATATAAGGAGATTAAAACAAAACCACTGGATGGATTTTTATCATTATATGATGGTTGTGTACAGACACTGCCAACACACATTTCAGTACAATCAACTTGTAAAAGTGCATGTACCATTATATGACCCCTTTAAGACATCTGCTTTACAATGCTTATGATAAATATTACAATGCTCATGATAACTTTCGTTAACTCTACAATAAGTAAATCCACTTCTTCACCACCAGCTAATTACTCCTCGACAGCGATGCCATAGAAATATACAGAGTGACCCGCAAAAACGGAAGTTCAAAGACAATATTCTAAAGATGACGGCGCGCTTGTTTCTCTGGTGCATAAGGTCCATACAACTAGCAAAGGTTGTGGCCCAACAAATTGGACTTTATTGTTCATAAAACGATGACATAAAAAAACACTAACAACAGATAGCATTACACAATGAAATGTCTTTACAAAACAAGAATGACACTCTACTGTTACATGGTCCATGTTTACAATACAAAATTAAGTTTCCCCTTTTGTTGATGGTAATGAAACACCTGAGGTGTTCAGCTACATCTAACATCTAGATTTGTAACATGTTTTGATATATGGTATTACTGTAGAAATGTAGCAAATTGATGTCTTTTTTGTATTATGTTAGGTTTTTAACTTAAGCTTAACCATTTAAAAAAAAGACAACAGTATGTACTTTAATTGTGCAAATTGGCCTGTAGTTTTGGTGGTGTTTGTGTCTAAGAAATGAATTCATACCATTTGAAAGAAGTAGTCACTGAATGCATTTTGTTCCAAAGCAATGATAAATGATCCAGTTTAGCGCACATACACTCACCTGAAGGATTTTTAGGAACACCTGTTCAATTTCTCATTAATGCAATTATTTAATCAACCAATCACATGGCAGTTGCTTCAATGCATTTAGAGGTGTGGTCCTGGTCAAGACAATCTCCTGAACTCCAAACTGAATGTCAGAATGGGAAAGAAAGGTGATTTAAGCAATTTTGAGCATCGCATGGTTGTTGGTGCCAGACGGGCTGGTCTGAGTATTTCACAATCTGCTCAGTTACTGGGATTTTCACGCACAACCATTTCTAGGGTTTACAAAGAATGTTGTGAAAAGGGAAAAACACCCAGTATGCGGCAGTCCTGTGGGCGAAAATGCCTTGTTGATGCTAGAGGTCAGAGGAGAATGGGCCGACTGATTCAAGCTGATAGAAGAGCAACTTTGACTGAAATAACCACTCGTTACAACCGAGATATGCAGCAAAGCATTTGTAAAGCCACAACACGCACAACCTTGAGGCGGATGGGCTACAACAGCAGAAGACCCCACCGGGTACCACTCATCTCCACTACAAATAGGAAAAAGAGGCTACAATTTGCAAGAGCTCACCAAAATTGGACAGTTGAAGACTGGAAAAATGTTGCCTGGTCTGACGAGTCTCGATTTCTGTTGAGACATTCAGATGGTAGAGTCAGAATTTGGGGTAAACAGAATGAGAACATGGATCCATCACGCCTTGTTACCACTGTGCAGGCTGGTGGTGGTGGTGTAATGGTGTGGGGGATGTTTTCTTGGCACACTTTAGGCCCCTTAGTGCCAATTGGGCATTGTTTAAATGACACAGCCTGCCTGAGCATTGTTTCTGACCATGTCCATCCCTTTATGGCCACCATGTACCCATCCTCTGATGGCTACTTCCAGCAGGATAATGCACCATGTCACAAAGCTCGAATCATTTCAAATTGGTTTCTTGAACATGACAATGAGTTCACTGTACTAAAATGGCCCCCACAGTCACCAGATCTCAACCCAATAGAGCATCTTTGGGATGTGGTGGAACGGGAGCTTCGTGTCCTGGATGTGCATCCCACAAATCTCCATCAACTGCAAGATGCTATCCTATCAATATGGGCCAACATTTCTAAAGAATGCTTTCAGCACCTTGTTGAATCAACGCCACGTAGAATTAAGGCAGTTCTGAAGGCGAAAGGGGGTCAAACACAGTATTAGTATGGTGTTCCTAATAATCCTTTAGGTGAGTGTAGACTACTGTTGTGCTCACTGTGGGAAGAGTTTTGAAAAAGTGATTCTGGTGTTAAGAAATGCGTCCTAGCAATTGTAAAATTCATATATACTCATATATCAAAAACAGATTATCAATTGGGATACTTTTTGATGGGGGGCCTACTTATTAATACACAAGAAAAGCTCTTGTGCATAACCCTTTAAATATATAATAGGGTTGTGTAATCCCTAGTTAGTGTTCTCAGACATAATTATTGACACTGCATTTTGATATAAATGCAGTTCATAAGTGTGTGTGTGAGTCTATTTTGCTCTCTAGTGTCCAGTTTCCCAGACAGACTAAAGCAACTTGAAAGCAACTTGCATTGATATATCTTAAAAAATATCTGTGCCATTGTTTTGTCTTAAGATGCACACCAGTAATGTTTTTTTTTCTATGGCACGTTTATAAAAGCTACTTAAAAGTCCTAATTTAACTAAAACCTAATCCTGGCTTAATCTAATCCCTGTCTGTGAAACCAGGCCTAGATGTTTTACATTCATTACTGGATTTTTTCCCCTTGCATTGTGGCTGATTTGTAGTTTGTATCCCACACAAATGTCTCTGTTTTTCATATTTCTCATTCATATGGTGTTCCCCGCCAAGTTTTGTTCCATTCCTCTGAAGTAGTTTTTTTCATTTCCTCGAACAGGACCAGGGGTTAATAAAGCAAAAGCACATACGTGTTCCACACAAAAATACGCAATCTGTCATTATCTGAAATGTTCAGCACAACGACAGTAGGCCTACCTTGACGTATTTCACAATGTCTCTGAGTTCCTTTTCTCATTCCTTGCACCTCTGTTTTGACTTCTTCCACGCTTCCTCAAGATGTTTCTGTTTGTAAACCATAAGTGTGAGAATTTTGCCATCTTCAAACTCTATTATGTGCAATTCAAAGATTTTCTTTACAGTTTTTGTTACCTGTTTTTCCGTCCTCTCCTCCATCACCGACACCACGCTGTGCCCCTTATGTCCGTCTTTTAAGCACGAACTACAAATGCATTGTTGGTCTGTGCGACAGTAAACATCCCGCAATTTATTGTGCCGCGAACAGATTGTTTTCTGCGCTTGTTTTGTCACTTCAATAAGTGGATGCATTCTTCCGCGATTCCTTTCACTGTGAAGCTTCAAGTGAATTTCGCAGTATAACGTCTGACATTTCACACAGAACTTAACAGCTCTGTGTTTCTTCCCAGTGCAAACATCACACTCCACATTCTCTGCCTTCGCACCAGGATCTTGAACGGCGGTTCTCCTCAGTTGTTCCACTATATCAGCCAGCATGGTGTTTTTCGACAGCGCAGGTCTGGGGCTGAAGGTGCGTCGACACTGAGGGCAGCTGTATTCCTCTTTTAACTCGCATTTCCTCCAGTAACCTTTAATACACTCCATACAGTAACTATGTCCGCAGGGAATAGTGACCGGCTCCCACAGCACTTCCAAGCACACCGAGCAACAGAATTGGTCCTTATCGACAGAGATATTTGTTCCTGCCATTTTCCCCTACATGTGTACAGTCAGAGGAGAGTGAAATGAAAGGCAGTAAACTGGTCGCCAAGGACAGAGAGGACGAAACAATGATTGTTTGTGTATAAACTGGGCGTGAACATAATGCAGGTACAGTAGAAGCTTATCAGGTTTCAGTCCGAAACAGCCTGAAGCGGCCAATCACACACGAGAACAGGAAAGGGCCACTTCTTTGCTTTTATGCAAAGCGAAGTTCCAGGTGGGTAAACTTGCTTTACATACATACATTATATTTTGTGATCTGCTCCACCATTTTGAGAAACACATTGTGGGTTTTAAGCATTTAGAAAAAAAAAAAAAAAGAGGAAAGTCCCTGCTTACTACTGATATAAGTATTGATTCTCATTTTTAAATAGTGGTTGTCATAAAAGACGTTTTTCAGAAAGGATTTCTAAACATATATTATTCAGTCTCGTTTCATTGATCAGGGCTTTCCAAACCTTTTTAATGCTAAGACCCACCAAAAACATCTTAGAATATAATATAAGTGCATTTGTTCTCTTTTAGTTCACATTTGCTATTTTCTTTGGCATAGTTTTAGTAGTATTATGGGAAACATGAATAAAGACATGAGTGTGAGATATAATCTGCAGACAAAAAGAGAATATATCTTGCTTTCTTTTGCTTCCTTATTTCTTTATTAAATAATGATGCATATCACATGGAAATGACAGTTCAGTAAATGAGTCATATGTTGCCACTCTGATGGATTCAATGAGTTCATTCAGTATAGAATTCATCGGATTGATTCAAACTGGTAAGTTTGTGAGTCTTTTTCAATGACTCATTAAGAGTAATTGTTTTTTTTTTTTTGTGATTTGAGACCACAAGGTCAAACTGCACGGCAACTCATGATGAGATACATTACTGGCCAAAAGAGATGTCCAGCCTAGGAAAACTGACATCTTTTATTTAAATGTTATTAAAAATGTTAACGATTTTGTAAGCATAATGATAGAGTGCTTGGAGTCAATTGTTTTATTTGTGATAATGCACTGAAACTTGCCAAATTGTGCGGGCATCATTTTTTGCCAGGCTGTCATACAAAGAAATAATGAACACATGCAAAAACAAGAGAAACGGAGAAATGGTAACTGATTATGTTGTAGTCAATGTATGCGTTTCCTGTGAGATCTTTGTTTTTCTATGCATTTTTTTGCAAAACAAAACCTGCAGATGTAGTTGCCTATTTTTGCACAAATAATTTTGTCAGAACCTTAACCAAGTTTAATGTTTTGTTCTTCACTCATATTTAAAATGTTTTCAAAATATAAAATATTTCTCATATTTTGATGGTTTAATTAAACTTGTACGGTTATTAAAAACAAATATATTGCCGGACAACACTTTTGGACACTATATTTTGACTAACTTCTGAGGATGGTGATAAATATACTAATCATACTAGTAAACCTTTTCTTCATAACACTTTTGCAACTACACATGAAGTTTTTGAAAATATATACTGCCATTTCTCTTTGCTAACCTGAGCTGTTTTACTTACGCATTAAATGAATGCCTTCAAGCTAATATACACAACTGATTTGCCTAAGGTGTTAGAGAAAATAAATTTAACAAATTAACTTAATCCATCTTTACATTAGTTGTCAAAGGTAACTACTTTTTGGAGAGGCAACACATTTTTTTCTTTTTTTTTTCTTTTTCTTTTAAAGAAATATATTTTGAAAATAAATATATTTTATTTTCACAGTTTTATATTTGTCCCCAAAACTAATTTTAAGCATTTAAAAATAAGTCTTGTTTAAAATATCTTTAAGATAATGTGTTAATTACACGTATCATTAATATAGAGATGACTATGTTTTACATATAAAACAAGTTTATTTACAAAGAAGCTGTTCATTTTAAAGCAAATGTAAAGCTCATGTGACAGACCCACATTATACAATCCACCTTCATAATTACAGGCAGTATATTTTTCACGAGCAGATTTATCTTCCCTTTAATGCAGATTTTGCAACTCTGTGCAGATCCAGATGTTCAGATAATTGAGAGAGAGAGAGAGAGAGAGAGAGAGAGAGAGAGAGAGAGAGAGAGAGAGAGAGAGAGAGAGAGAGAGAGAGAGAGAGAGAGAGAGAGAGAGAGAGAGAGAGAGAGAGAGAGAGAGAGAGAGAGAGAGAGAGAGAGAGAGAGAGAGAGAGAGAGAGAGAGAGAGAGATGCTTCCATGCATGCAGGAAAAAATGTCTTAATTTTTTTTTTTTTTTATTCAATTGGTTCCACAGTAAAATCCCAGAGCCATCAAACTACTTGTAAGAAACTTTATTTTGTATGATTTTTTTTTTCCCCCATAATTTTAAAAATACTTTCAATTAAACAATGTTTAATACACACAAATACAGTTCAGACGTATGAAGCTAAAATAACACTTCTATGAATATAGACGTCATCAGTTGATAAACACTGACAAATTACACCAATATAGCACACTATATAATGTGTATGATTAATACTTAAGAAAATACTATAATCATAGCTTAGTCAACAGGTAATTCGTTTAAAGTGGACCAATTATGCTTTTTTTACATGTTCAACTTTCTTTGATCTGTAATGTTGCCGTTTGAGCATGAAAAGGGTTCATGCTCAAACCTTCCTCCGGGAACGAACTCGTCGTCACTATATTCCTCATTCAAATAATTCCCACCCAAGGCATACACAGAATAAAGGGATGAGGTCTGGTTGAGTTAGAACTCACGGTTTTGGAAAAGAGCGGGACATTTCCGAAACACGCTTGAAGCGCTTGACCAATCACAACACACTGGTCAAGCCGACCAATCAGAGCACATTGTGCTTTTCAGATGGAGGGGCTTCATAGAGACAGGAACTAAACTGACCGTTACTGACAGACTGGGAAGAGAGAAGCTGCAACATCAAATATGTGAAAATTACGTTTTTTTTTAACATTCAAGCATGAAAACGTCAATCAAGACTTTGTAAAAGAGCATAATATGGCCTCTATAAAAGTTTGGAACACACAATATTCTAACTTTCACTCCAAGCACATCTGTAATTATAAGATATACAGTTTAACATTCTGTAAGTTTAAAGTTTATACCATTGAGACTTGGACAATAGACACTGAAACGCATCTGCATTTACATTTCCGTCTTATTTAGCAATAAGAGTTTGTGGTTAATATAGCTTTACATTTTTTTACCATGAAAATGTACATATTCCAAACCACTATGACAAACCGACTTTGGCCTCTTCAATGAATTCTACTCAGGCGTTTCTCAGGCCACACTTAAGGCTACCTTCGTCTCCTACGTGGCTGTAGTCTCTGACGAGGACCTTGTGTTCTCGATCCTGAAGAGGAAAGAGAAGATGAGAAGACAATGATTTACCGTACACACAAACAAAGAGGTCAAAGATGATAGCGTGGTCACAGCTTGATCTCTTCATGTCTCAGGTCAACACTATAGAATCAAATCTTTTCCTGGTACTCACCAAATGACGAGAATGGAAACACACCAATCGTCGGGACGCTGACGGTAAAAGGGATCTGTACAGGCTGGCCAAACAACGGTGCTAAAGCTATGAAATAAAAGAATGATCCTGTAAGCTTTTTCACATGTAGTTGACATGAAATTAATGAAGTATTAACAATATTTTATTATATTAAAATGAAACATCCTAAGTTTTTGATTTTTAAGCTCTGTTCCAAAACCTAGTGAGCTGCCTATCTAGACAGTCATAATCTACACTACCACTAATTTTTTTTTTTTTAAGAAACAAGATACTTTTTTTTTAAGCAAAGATGCATTAAATTGATCAAAAATGACAGTTACAATGTAACACAAAATAATATTTTATAAACGTTGTTCTTCAGAACTTTTTTTTATTTATCAAATAATCCTTAAACATGCATCACAGTTTCCAAAAAATAATTGTTTTCAACATTGATAATCATAAATGTTTCTTGAGCAGCAAATCAGCATTTTAAAATGATTTCTGAAGGATCATGTGACACTGAAGACTGGAGTAATGACGCTTTGATCACAGAAATAAATGACATTTTACAATAAATTTAAATAGAAAGCTGGTACAATTTTAATTTGAAATTGTAATAATATTTTATAATATTTCCGTTTTTACGGTTCTATTTTAATTTATTTTATTTAAAAAGTATAGATAATAGTAAAATCGAATAAAATTATACAGCAAGTCAAAATCGAATTAAATTATACAGCAAGTCAAAATGCAATGTATTTTTTTTTATGCATATTACAATTTTGCATTAGTAGTTTAACAACAAGCTAATGCCATGTTCTGTTGGAATCAATTGCGAGTTCTTTATACAGGGTTCCTGCACACTTTTGAAAGTCAAATTTAAGGCTTTTTAAGACCTTTTTAAGACCTGAAGAAATCAAAATTAATACCGTACATTAGGGCTGTGCAGTATTGACAAAAATTTATCTTGATATTTTCAACGTTTTGTTGATAATAATTAGATGATATTTTACTGATTGTGTTTTTGTGCTGGTGCCATGGCTGGTTTAGGTCTGTTGTTGACAGCTGACTCACGAAGATATTCATATTTTTCATATTCTATGCAGTGGTCAGTTCACAGCAGTGACAGAAATGAATATTTTAATTAAGGGGCAATATTTGCCACCTTAAATTGATTTTTTCAGGGGCATTTTCACCTATATATGGACATTTTTTCTAAACTTATTTAGAGTTATGCTTTAATGTCAAATACTATCATTCAAATTAAATTATACAGTAATTATACAATAATACTTAATTATATAATAATCATACAGTACCACTGTTACAGTCAAATTAAATCATTCAATCAAAATCCATCTTTGCAGTGCAGAGGTGACAGAAGCGGCATCAGAAGTGGCATTAATTTATTTACACTCCATTTACAACTGCATAAATAAAGCTATGAGATATATATTTTTAAATCAATATTCAATATTTAAATATGAAATGATTTCTAATTTTAACATTTTATTTAAAGGGTACTTTAAATATGAAACCGCAGCGGCAAATCACTGTCTTAATAAATGAGTTGAGGGAGTCATTCATTCAACCGATTCGTTCAAACGGCTGATTCATTCGGGAAAGAAGCAAGTGATTCGTTCAAAACGCGGATTTCAGTCAAGAAATAATCGCTGTCGGTTGCATTGAGACTCTGCTACGGTTTCATTTTGAAATTATAGTCGGCGAAATAAAGGGAAAACAAACAATATTGACAATATTGTGTCTAAAAAGTAACTCAATGTTAACTTATTGTTAATTTAACTGTTGTATAACATAAATATCACAATTGGAATTGTGCACGGGAAAACGGCACTCTTTCTGATATGATATTCTAATATAAGAACATAATATGATATAAATATAAGACAAAAACTAACTTGGGGACATTACAGTTACACTGCACACATCACGCAGTGAAAGCACGAGAGACAAATGCGATGTCAGCTCGCAGTGCCTCGTACATTGTTAAAACAATGATTACAATATCATAAAAGACAATACACATCGCACACCATACGCACATAAAGAATGAACTTACAACTGAACTGACATTTACGACCTTTCTTCTCCTTCTCTCCTCTCGCGTGCAGGAGACAGTTATGCTGCCGCGACTCGCGAGTGACGCGAAATGTCACGTGAACTAGCAAATCCACAAAGATAGAATAATAAATAAATAAAAATTCGTACGCTAATTAGATGGTTTTAATTTGGAAAGCTTTTAGATATGTCTAAGTCAAAGTGTCATCTAAAATTTAAGACCTTTCATAAGTAAAAATAAGACTTTATAAGACTTTTTATGGCCTTAAATTTTAAAAATCTAATTTAAGACTTTAAGACTTTTTAAGGATCCGCGGGAACCCTGTTATATAAAAATAAATGTTCTTTATTAGCATTGATGTTTCAGCAACCCTTAACAAAAGGTTCTTCACAGTGGAAAAACATTCTTCACACTAAGTGTAGATAGCAGGCATCAAAGCAGCGCACAAGGGTTTAGAACAGATTCTATAAACAGAATTGTGTCTAGACTTCATTTAAGGCATTTTTAATCTTACCTTCATTTGAGTCTGAATCTGTCTTTGGTTTAGTGCTCTGAATAACAGTAACATCACTCACTGCAAACCGGAACAGGAGTGTTAGATTGAGCATTAAGAGTAATTTCACAATACAATGAAATATTGATTTAGTTCTAAATGGCTTGAAATGTGGCATTTAAAACACAATGCAAGGCTGTTTACCTTTCTCTGAGATATTGACAAATCCCCCCTGACAGACGTCCTCGAGGAGAGCCTGAAACTCTGTCACCACCGCCATCACTGTTCCAAAGTTTGGGTCACAGGTAATGTTTGGCAAGTCTACGGGAACAGGCTGAGCACACAGAGACTTGCAGTTCTGAATAAGAACAATGGGGGGAAAAAATGATTGCAACTATGTTAGCCATAGGCAGTGGTTTGACTTTAAGCCTGTGTGAATCAAAAACCGTATGCAACCCAAATCCAATTCCTGATACTGGTTTCAGTTCCCAAAGGCTAGGCTTCATCTTAGCACACAATGACAGATTAAAGCACAGACTGACGCAATCTCAATTCTGTGTCTCTCTTTGAGTCCTTTGAAGGTTGCAATTTTTCACATGGTTTTCAAGTGTTCACCATGTGAAACTCAATGAAAACCAGGAATACCAAACAGTCCAGAGGACAATTCCGTATGCTCTGCTCGCATTTGATGGAATTGGTCACCCAAAAGTAAACATTTTTAAAGTCACCATGAAATCAAAATGGCCAATTATCTCTTTTGTTTTTTTACAGTATGTTGCAGTGCTTATTATAAATTGCATGTCTGTGCAGTTTTTTTTTTTGTGGTGTTTTTTCACATATATTATATTTTATAGTATCTTTAATTAAAAGGGGGGGGGGGATTTTTAATTTTTTATTAATTGATATTTTTATTAATATCAATTAATAAAAAATTAAATATTGTCGCCGTCGGGCAGAAACCTCATATCTCCATTTATTATTTTTTTTCCAGAAATCATTACTGGTATCCCATTATGTTTGTCTGTGGTTTTTGAAAATGTTTAACCAATGAAAAATATTGAAAAGAGCTTGTGACTAAACCTCATAACTCCATTGGCTCCTCTAACTGTCAGTCAAACCTCATAACTCCACCCCCCTCTAAAGTGAATGAAGTGCTGCACGCAGTTTGGTCCGACTCTGCTTGTTTGCAATGCAAGGGTAAATAAAGAACTGATTGTTTGAATAAGTCATTCAAATATTCTTATTCTGTGACAACTTATTTATATTATGTGATTTTTTTTAAAGGAACACTCCAACTTTTTGGGACTTTAGCCTATTCACCTTATCCCCCAGAGTTAGATAAGTCCATACATACCTTTTTCATCTCCGTGCGAGGCACTGCTACTTGGGCGGAGTGATAACCGCAGCACCTGAGACGCGCTCTCTGGCTCTCTGCTCCTCACCACGGCTCGTCTCAGGTGCTGCGGTTATCACTCCGCCCAAGTAGCAGTGCTTCGCCTTCAGAGAATATAGTTCCCAGTATTTATACGGTTAAAATATGTCTGTCTCATGTGACTTTGTTTTTTGTACACTCTGTGACTATACAAATCACAACATGTAAATAGGAAAATGTTTCCGTTATTTTGTCACTTATTTGGATTAGTATGCTAGCTGCAACCATTTACATCCAGTCTTTGTGCTAAGCTAGGCTAGCGGTGGGTGCGTCAAACAGACTTATAGCACGCACGGAGATGAAAAAGGTATGTATGGACTTATCTAACTCTGGGGGATAAAGGCCAATTTATACTTCTGCGTCGAGTGTACGCCGTAGGCTACGCACGTAGGCGATGCCGTCATGTGCATTTATACTTCTGCGTTTAGGTCTGCGTTGCTCTGCAGTACAGCGCCGAAACGCTAGTTGGCGGCGGAGGGTTTTAATGTTCCACTGTGTTTAGATTCCTCGCCGCAAGAAGAAGAAGATTCCTCGCGGCTGTTTTGAGTTTAGGTTACTACAAGCAATGGCGACTGAAAGGGAGCAGATCATGTTTGAGTTGGAGCTTATCGAGGTGGAAAAGGTAAATTTTTAGTTTTTTTTAACAGTTTCGCTGTACTTACTTAGAATTTAAAAATGGCGGGCGGTGCAGAAGAACACGCCGGAAATGCATAGGAGGAAACGCGATGCTACCAAGCCGACCAATCACAGATCTTGCGGTCCGCGTCGTCGCGACGTGTAGTTACATTTTTGAGGAGGTGCGCGTCAGGTTACGGCGAAGGGTACGGCGTATGGTACGCGTCTGTGCGTATGCTACGCCGTACCTACTGCGCGCACCCGATGCAGAAGTATAAATTGGCCTTTAGGTGAATAGGCTAAAGTCCCAAAAAGTCGGAGTGTTCCTTTAAAGGGTAACTAAACCCCTTGTCAGAGCCTGACTCCACCCACTGGCAATATTTGAAAAATGCTGGAAAAGTGGGCGGAGCCCAGCGGAGGGGGGCGTGCACCTGAGACAGGTCTCTCTGTAGGCAAGGGGGCGTGGTTAGCTGGTGCCTGCTTACATCACAGGGCACCACAACTTCCAATAGGACAATACAACTGCAGTAGCCACCGTTCAACCTGAAGAGGGCAGCACTCAGACGTTTTTACACCATATATTGTAGAATTAAAACACTTTACACCCAAATGTCAAAAAAAATTACTTGAATCAATGAACAGCATTAATAAAGCCCCAGTCTTACAGATCATTTACTAAAAAAAAAGTTGTTTTAGAGTTTAGTTACCCTTTAAATTGTGTACATTTTGGGACTTTTTATTTAGTAAATATGTATTTTTTTTGTATTTTGCCTATCATAATATAAGGTAAATCTGGCCCTGGTCACAAAAAGGAAGAAAAGACTAATTGCAACTTCCGTTTCATGCCAACTTTAATCCTAAAAAAATACAGTATTTGGAAGTGCAAAGGTATGGAAGCTTGTTCCAGCCATGGAATAATAAAAGTTTTTTCAAAAAGGTAATTGCGACTTTTCATCTCACAATTATGACTTTATTTCTCACAATTCCGAGTTTATATCTTGCAATTTTGAATAAAAATTAAAAATGAAAAAAGTTTTTCTCAGAATTATGAGTTTATATATCACAACACAAATACTACATATACATGAGTTTATACATTGCAAATTTAAGGGTAACATCTAATTCAACTTTGTTTTTCTCAGAATTGCGAGTTAAGTTAATGACTTTATTTTGTCACAATTCTTTGTTCTATTCAGTTTTTTTGTGAGAAATAAAGACCCAACTTTGAGTAAACATCTTGCAATTCAGATTTTTTTTCCAAAAAAAAAAAAAAAACAGTCGGAAATGCAACATGTTAAATCAAAATTGAGAAAATTGTGAGAGAAAAAAGGTCTGAAATCTGAAAATAAAAAAAAGTCACAATTACCTTTTTTATGTTTTTATTTCTGAGGCGGAAACAGGCTTCCATACAAAATAGATTTAGGAGCAACAGATTTTTATTGAACACAAAATGAGTCACACGGCCTACTTTTATGGTGCCTTTTTGACTTTAAAAAGCTTCCGGCTGCTATATGCTTTCATTATAAGGAAAAAGCAGCTCAGATATTCTGCCAAATATCTTCTTTTGTAGCATCAATTCACACAGGTTTGAAACAACATGAACAATTTTCATCTTTTGGTGAACTATTCATCCGAATGTGAAACATCTATACCTGAAAAATCAAATCAAAACAATAAAACTTCACTAGTATGGAGTGAGTGAGTGTTGCAACTTGCTTAGTGGTTAAAGAGACTGATTAGGTTTGAAAATGTGCTTCATGAACTAACCACCATTGTGTGCTTGGATAAGGCACTTAGCTTTGGATAAGAAAGCAGTTTGTGAATAACCAGCAGCATTACCTGAAGGAAGGCGATATGGTCCTCTGTTTGCGAGAGCTCTCCTAATTCACGGTGTCTTTTCTTCAGCTCTGTTATCTCCTGCTCCAGTTGTTGAAGAAGCGCTTCAGCCTGGCTCACTGCCGCCCTCTCCTGACCCCGGATCAGCTCCTTCACTTCAGCGCGCCGTCGCTCTATAGAGCACACCAGCTCTGTGAAGATGCGCTCGCTCTCCTCAAGGGCTGACTGTGCGGAGAGCTGGCGGGAGACAAAAGCAAAATTAGAACGCATGACTTTGGCTTTAAAGGGGTCACGCCGTGGAAAAAAGGATTTTTATTGCCCTTTTGAAGGGAGAGTTTGATGTACTAGATGTACTGTAACTTTCAGAACTCCTTCCAACCAGAACATTCACTGAAACTTAAATGGATAGTTCACCCAAAAATGAAAATTAGCCCATGATTTACTCACCCTCAAGTCACCCTAGGTGTATATGACCTTCTTTCAGACGAATATAATCGGAGTTATATTAAAAAATGTCCTGGCTCTTCCAACCTTTATAATGGCAGTGAATGGCTGTATATCTTTTGAAGTCCATAAAAGTGCATCCATCCATGATAACAGTGCTCCACAAGGCTCTGGGGGGTTAATAAAGGGCGTCTGAAGCGAAAGCGAAGCGTTTGTGTAAAATATTCATATTTAAAACTTTATAAAGTAAAATAACTAGCTTCCGGCTAAACGGAAGTACAGTAAAAAAAGTTCAAGGTAAATATTTTCATCGTATTTTCATTTGAGATATTGACATTACTGTGATTTTAATTATTGGCAAGAGCTTTAAAATAATAAAGTATAAAACAATTTGTGTCCACTTTTTGTGAAAAGTAATAATCATTTTGTTTGATTTCGCCTCGATATAGGTTTATTTCTGTACTTGAGCAATAAGTTGTCTTACCAAAAATACAGTAAATATTGTTACAATTTAAAATAACTATATATTATGAATATTTGTATATAGTATAAATATAACTGGTGTATTTTCAGCATCATTACTCCAGTCTTTAGTGTCACATCACATGATCCTTCAGAAATCATTCTAATATGCTGATTTGCTGCTCAAGAAACATTTCTGACTATTATCAATATTGAAAACGTGTGCTGTTGAGAGTTGTGCTGCTTTATATTTTTGATGAAATTGGGATTTCTTTCCAGGATTCCTTGATGAATACGAAGTTCAAAAGAACAGCATTTGTTTGAACTAGAAATATTTTGTAACATTATGTCATTTTTGATCAATTTAATGCTGTATTAATTTCTTAAAAAAAAAAAAAAAACATCTTACTGATCCCAAACGGTAGTGTACATAAAACTATAAAATGAACTATTAAATACATTAGACTTTCCTCTCACACAATGAACATTTAATAAATAAAATAAACTTGACAGCTGTGTTATTTGCCCCCAATGAATAAACTATTATTAAAAAGCAAGCGGTGTCCACGGATCGAGCTCCTTCAGTGAAGTTTGTGATGGGAGAACAGAAAGCACTCACAGTGAGCGTCTGTGTAGCCTGTCTCAGGTCTGCCAGCTCCTTCTCTCGCTCCTGAATCCTCTGCTGGGAAATCATCTGCATCTCCGCCAGAGCATTCTGGGAAGAAAAACATAGGTTACATAATGGTTGGTTTGTTCTGACTCGTAAAAATCACACTCTAGAAATGCTCTACAATTTTACCTTTTTCTCATTCATCTCTGCTGTAGCTAGAACAGTGTCATGTCCTTTGTGTTCATCCGTCAAACAAAGGTAACAAATACATTGCTGATCTGTGCGGCAAAACACCTCTAGTAGTTTATCATGCCGAGAGCAGAGCTGTTCTTGCATCTTCTTTGAAGGAGAAACCAGCTTGTGTTTCTGGAAGGCAGGAGACTCGAAGTGAGGTTGAAGGTGAGTCTCGCAGTAAGACGCCAGACAGACCAGGCAGGATTTAAAGGCTTTGTTTTTCTTCCCAGAGCACACATCACACTCAACATCTCCAGGTTCAGCTTGGGTGGGATCGGACGGGGTCGGCCCAGCATGCAGTCCTGTCTTCTTCAGTTTCTCCACCACATCAGCCAGCATTGTGTTCCTGCCCAGCAAAGGTCTGGGAGCGAAGCTCTGCCTGCATTGAGGACAGCCATAGATCCCCAGATAGTCGTCCTGGTCCCAGTAGCCTTTAATGCAGCCTTTACAATAGCTGTGCCCACATGGAATAGTCACAGGGTCCTTTAGGACATCCAGGCATATAGAACAGTTGAACTGGTCATGCTCCAGGAAAACCCCAGCTTGCGCCATTTTGAAAGGATTCTTGCCGTCCAGCCCCAGTAGCAGAACGAAGCCCAGGGAAGCTGTGTTTATGCAGGAAGTGAGTCATGTGACCAGAGTCTGACATGAGGGGGAGGGGCGGAACAGCTGCTCTCACACAACTGAGCATGTCAGAAAACACAGTGTTCAGCTCTGTTACGAATTAGAAGTAGCCTGGGAAAACCCAGACAACTTCCGGCAAATTTAGATTTGCTCTGAAAGTTAGTCTGGCAAAGAGCTCATTCAAACCATTTCCAATCCGCCGAAATCACGGCACCAATCAGAAACGTTGGGGCGGGCTTTACACGATGACGACAGCGCTGGGATTTTGAAGCAGATTTTGTAGCCTACATTACAAAGATGGATGCCGCCGTCGAACATCACTCGTTCGAATCAGCTATCGCGTCTGTTTTAAGCGATTTGAACGTTTCCTTTTTGTTAAAAACCGAGCAAAGAACAACACTCGGAGATGTTTCTGCCGCTCTGCATACGTCATCTCCTTCATCGCTCTGATTGGGTTTAGGTCTATCCGCGACGTCCGTTGGTGACGCCCCTCTGGAAATGATTTGTATATGACGCTTTGCCAGACCATAACTCAGTTACAACTGAGAATGGTCTGGTTTTAACCAGGCTAAATTAGAAGGTGAATCTCACAAAAATGAGTCACGGTCATATGCCACCCTACAAATCAGCAAATATAAAAATAATTTATACATTTATATCTGAATATAAAATATATTTTATTTAATATATTTCAATATTTATATAAATATAGTTAAAACAATAATTTAATAAATTATTTAATGTCTTAATTATATTGGAATAATATAATATATTTTATATTCAGATATACATTTATTTATAACAATACAAAATACAAATTATATATATATATATATATATATATAAATAAATTTATAAAATGTTTTACACCTTTCTATTTATTTTACATTATTTTTCTCTTATATATATATAAATAAAATAAAAATAATTACCGCCAAAAAATCATTTAATTTTTAAATTATATATAATTATTCTATTATATATAAGATAAGCAGAAGGTAAAATAAATCAATAAAAAGGTGTAAAAACATTAAAAAATATATATAAAAAAACAATTTTAAAAGCCTGCTTTTAGGATCATATATTAAACTTTAATATCTTATCTTTTTATTTAATATACTGTACACTGCGAGGTCCACAAAGAAAATAATCTAATTTAAATTTGGAAATAAACTAAATGATTAAAAATGTTGAAGTAAAACAAAGATACATCATTTCGTAACAAAAAAACTAATACAAAATATTTGCGATTGTTCAGAGTTCTCTGGTCAGATAAAACTAAATAACCAATACTACTAATTAGAAAAACTCCTTATACATAATTTGTCCGATTTTCTTGCTCACACTGAAGCATAAGATGCTCTCTGGAACATCTCAAATGATGCTGGAGAACATGATCATCAGGTTTTATTCATGTTAGCTCCAGTGCTGCTACCATTCATTCAAAATAGGTGAAAAATAAACAAAAGCTCAGACATTCTGAAATTCATACATTTTTAATTCAACTTTCCACTTTGAGAGTGTAACACGACACTAGATGGCAGCAGTGCTGCATTCACTTGATACCGATACATGAACAGTGTTTATAAGCAAATGCTTCTAATAACTTAGAAACATATACAAACAATATTGATGATGCAGTACTTTATTTCATAATGCAAGGCATCAGGTTTCATTACAGGTGGTTAAATAACTTTACATAAAGAATCTTCTTAAATAAATTATGCAAATCTCAGACTTTTTTACTTGAATAAATACATGTTCCCTTTTCACAAATAATAATAATAAACCATTTCAGTTTTAAATAGGTAAACTATATTAACATATCTGACCGGCACAACAAATCCATGAGGTGATATGATAAAACAACACGCTCAGATCTCATTTACCGTTTTCGACTATTAAAATATTCAGTGCAAATCCTTTTAAAGTGATTTTCGTTACGTTCGTGTGCGTATTTGGTCATGGGAGCGTTCAAAAGCTCCAAGCATTCAAGTTTTTTCAACATTCGTTCATGCGTTCTCTTTGTCAACAGAGAAACATGCTCTGCGTTTTGTCAGTTTCATTCCTTGCAGCTTCTGGAGTGGATTTTGTAAATACAATAATGAGAGTACAATACTTCTGAACTAAAATAAACTCTACAAAGGGCTGGTATGATAGAGTAAACACTGAAGCTTCCGACACAGGTTCTGGACCAGAAAACTCTTTTGTAATTTTAAAACTGACACTTAGAGATAAGCTACATGATTCAAGGTTAGCGTCACGGGAAACTTACATGCACAAGGAAGGCTTACGGTAAGAGTTTTAGATATGATCATTTGGTCTTCTCGTCTAGTCCACTCTCAGCTCTCAGAGCCTGACTGCTAGCAGAGATGAATCTAATCCAGTGCTGAAGATCCTCTGAAATGTCAGGGCAGTCCACCTTCAAATTAGAGACATGTGCGTTATAGGTTAGTCAAACAGGAACATACTTCAAAGAAAATTACCATGGTATTACCATGGTACTGTATATGTCCAACAATAGGGTCTAATTTCAAACTGGGAGTGCTAGGGGATCCGTGAAAAAGGTTTGAGAAATAAAACTTTTTATTAAAATAAAATAAAATCAATTTTATAAAAACTAAATAAACAAAAAATATGATTATTCTTTTTTACAAATAATAATACAGTAAAAAAAAAAACATTTTAAATAAACAACTAACAGTACAGTACTATAGGGGTAAGGAAAAACGGTAACACTTTACAATAAGGTTCATTAGTTAATGTATTAACTAACATGTACTAACAATGAGCAATACATTTGTTACAGTATTTATTAATCTTTGTTAATAAAAATACAGCTGTTTATTGTTTATGTTAGTCCACAGTGCTTTAACTAATGTTAACTAATGTCAAATACAACATTTGATTCAATTGATTGTAATAACATATTAATAAATGTTGAAATTAATATTAATGCTGAAGAAGTATTGTTCATTTTTAGTGCATGTTAAATAAGGTAGTTAAGTAATGAACCTTACTGTAAAGCAGGGGTCTCAAACTCGCGGCCCGCGGGCCATTTGCGGCCCGCGGGGTGATATTTTGTGGCCCCCTACTTAACATTAAAGTTTAATGTTAGTGCGGCCCGTCGTTGCGTGTGCCGCGAAAAAAAAAAAATGTATCCCTTATGAGCTACCATAGATAGTCTCGTGACAGCTTACGGAGGGTTTGTTGTCAATAGTTGTCATAGACAACCGCGAAGTACAAACATACTGCGCCTGGAAAAAATGAGCGCGTCGCTTCAATTATGAGCGCGCTTGCCGCGCGCCTACATTTGAAATTACGAACTTGAGCGCGCAAAATATGTGAGCGCGATATGTGAACGGCCCCTTGGCGAGCTACCACCAATCAGGCCACGAGCTACTGGTAGCTCGCGAGCGACGTGTTGGAGAGAGACCCTGCTCTAAAACAATGTGAGAATAATCACTTTGAGCTTGTAATATGTGTCCAACAGGTTCATAAGAAGGTTTGCTTTGATTTGTGCAGTCAGTAATTTGAGACACTATACAAAGAATTCAATAAGACGGGCAGACATGACTGCAAATATTTGTATTTCAAAAGCAATAATTGTTTTTCTAAGTATAATAAAAGGAAATGTGCCTTCCAAAAAAAACATTCAATATCATTAATGTGTTGTATAAAGAAAATAAAAAGGACATAAGCAAATATAAATATCACAAATATGTGTTATAGACAAAGAAAGTTTGTAAAATGAACTTCAACTGTCAGAAGGACAGCTCATGAAGAACCAATCATGTACAGAAAGGAATGTTCAAATTCAGAGGAACTGTTCAGAAGAAACGTTAATAAATATTGAGAAGATTGGATCAGTTGTGCTCCTTTTTTGGAATACTTGAATACTATTTTTTTGTGGAATACTTGATGCGGCCCAGCCTGACCCAGACTCCACCTCCAGCGGCCCCCAGTTAATTTGAGTTTGAGACCCCTGCTGTAAAGTGTTATCGGAAAAACATAATAGAAACTTAATTTTCCAAATAATATTTCACACATATTTATAAAACACATTTTCACTTAAATTTAATTAAATTAAAGCCTTTAATTTCACATTTTTATTTAAATAAAAATAATACTTAAAATATGTAATGTAGCAAAATGGAAGCTAAATATTTTCAAAACAATTTTAGTAGTATTTTATATTTTATGTATATTTATAGTATAAATTGGGTCTTTATACATTTTTTATAATATAAATATTTATAGTATAAATTGGGTCTTTATACGTACATACATATATATATATATATATTTTTTTCTTTTCTTGCATGGGGTTTTATATTGTAGTGTAAAGAAACTAATAAATATTGTTTTGAAAATACTTAGTTATTTAGGTAACACTTTATTTTAAGGTGACGTAGTTGCACGTTACTTACTAGTAATAAGAGTAAGTTTTGCATAATTATATTATGCATTATTACAAGTAAATAAACCTAAACCAAATCCTAACCTAACTCTACAGTAAGTACATGTAGTTTATTAATATTACTCAGTTACTTAAGTACAATGTAACTACGTCACCTTCAAATAAAGGGTCACACTTTAGATTAGGGTCCAATTCTCACTATTAACGAACTATTAACTATACAGTAAAAAATAATTCTTGGTTTAACTTAAAAAAAGTACGTTTTCCTGGTTGCCTTAAAATTGAGTTCACTGAAATAAAAAAAATTGAGTTAATACTAAGAAGGAGATTGGTTTAATCAACAGAACCTCAAAATGATCTGAACCACATTAATTATCTAAGTTGATTTGACAAAAGAAAAAAAGTTGTGGTAACAAATCATGAAATTATTTTTTTTACAGTGTATGACTTTTGCCTCAAACTCCAAATTACTGCTTATTAATATTTAGTAAGTAGGCTAGTAGTTAAAGTTTAGGTATTGGGTGGATTAAGGGATGTAGAATATGGTCATGCAGAATAAAGCATTAATATGTGCTTAATAAGTACTAATACACAGCCAATATCCTATGCTAATAAGCAACTAGGCCTAGTTAATAGTGAGAATTCGACCCTAAATTAAAGTGCTACGAAATAAAGTGTAACCATAATGTTATTCTATTACGGTATAAATTGGGTCTTTATAGCCTAAACATAGCCTATAACTGCATTTTAAATGAAAGGATGGGGTCCCTGACACGAGGACAGGTCCAGTGTCTTTTAAAAGATAAAAAAAAAAACTGCTTTAATGCACACAAATGTTAGTAAAGTGCATACCCCCCTCTTGCAAAGGAAATCCAAGATCTTCTGTGGATTTCCGCGAATCACGTTCTGTCGGCACAGCATGACAGCAGAAATGAACCCGTCTGACTTGGACACGAATCTCTGCTCTATGTAGAAGGACTTCTCGTCCCACGACACGATGCGGGTGCGCAGCTCGAACGCCTCGCCGAGGGCCAGCGAGCGTCTGTAGCGGATGGTTGTGGCCCCGACCACCATGGTGGCGTTGAGCGCGCGTGCGGCCCCGAAGAGCCCGTTCCGGGTGCAGTGCGCAAAGCGGGCGAAGTCGCACTCGCGCAGATAGCGGGCGTTATTCATGTGACACATGAAGTCCAGGTCGTGAGGCAGAACCCGTCCGTGAACGACCTGCTCGGCCAGAACATCTCGAACCGGACCCTGGAACCAGCACTTGATCGCCATCCACGAGCCTCTCAGGAAGTACCACACGTCAACACTGCCGAACAGAACCAGAGACCCGGACAGAATCCACAGCAGCATGATTCTGTTACACAGTGAAGATTATTAATTATTCACATCATGAATAATACACGAGCGTCAGATGGAGATATATAACTGGGTTAATTGAGTTTTTTCTTTTTTTTTTACATAGGCTACTCTGATAGTAGGAGAAAAAGCGATGCTGACAGGCTTCATATGCTACAAAATACGACGCAAGACATTATTAGGTCATTATTGTAATAGTTGCTGTCAGAATATATGTAACATTCACTCATTCATTTCGGAAATGAATGAAACATCTACATTTAGATTAAATAGAAAACGCACATACAGAACATTGACAATAATATCGTGCAACGAAACCTATCCCAGGTCTACTGGTTTGCGTTTAAATACATATAAATTGATGAATTAGATGCATTAAGCAATGTTTATAAGCATAATCTTGTCAAATATGATATGCTTGATACTCACGCGATGGACACCTAAAAAACCGGCTTCACGCACTTCCGCAATGACAGATACTGCGCTCTGATTGGTTTAAGGAGATAACGTGACTAGGCAGTAGGCCGCACTACATGACGACAGATTTCTATATCATCCCATTAGAAATAAGGTTTCCAAGACAAAACACAAATATTTTGGATGGTGGTTACATAAATTTAGAGATAATTAAAATCGTTCCACTCTGAAATGTGTATTAAGACAGTTAAAATACATAGAGAAATAATTATCTCAGAGTAGAACATATTCAGGAAATAGTTGTCATTATTATTACATTTTAATTATTTTTAAGGAAAAAAAGGGAAAGGTTTTAGGGTAAAAAAAGAGACTTAGATAGACATAGATATCAGCACACTTAGTTGATTGAATACATTAAGAATTGCAAACAATTTTGTATTACAAGATTTCTGAAAAGTTGTTTAAATATGCAAGTGAGGCATTATCTAATTAAATATGCAATCATTTGCATACATTTGTAGAACAAAAAACTAAACATTGGATGAAGTCAGGTTCAAAATTCGTTAATTTGTTTTGACATATTAGAGTTAAAGGTTTTTACAAAGGGGATTTTGGATTTTCCATAGATCAGAAAATACTGTCTACAGCCAGAAAAACAAAATACTGTAATAAAAAAATAGGAATACAATGTATAAAATTAGGCAAATTATATGTGAACAACCCCCTCTGTAAAAACCTTCAGGATATGAATAAAACTAAAGTTAGGTGTATGTTAGTGCTGCTGAAATGGAGATTTATGGCTCAATGCAGGAGAAAAACACATTTTGGAAAAAAAAAAATTGAAACTGTAATTGAAAACTACAGACGCAAATAGATAAAAGTGCTATAAAATATACACTTAATAGTGTATTTTTGATGTTTTCTTTCCACTAATCTAAAAAATAAAAATTTAAAAGCTAAAAAGCCCAAAACCTCAAAATTAACATATGCATGAAAAAATGCTGTTTTTGTCTGTAGTGTATCACCTTAAATATTATTTTGTTTCCACTCCAGTCCAGTTGGTGGCGTTAATAAACCGTGAAATACACCAGAAAATATTATTCATCCATTGTTTTTAAGATTTAGTTTTTTAGATATTTACAATCTTCCGGCTTGCATGAGACAATGTGGCACAAACAAGGCTTTTAGAGTACAGCAGAACTCACATTTTTATTTTGCATAGGAGTATCCAAACACCTGAGACTTTAATGTACGTGCATCAGAGCGTTCTTGCGTTTTTGTAAACCATCGAGTAAGAGTTCATTTAAGGCAGAGAGCCATCATTCGCTCTTTTTATTATCGAGCTGACATTCCCCCCTGAGGGCTTTACTGCTGGCCGAGATGAAATTGATCCAGTGCTGCAGGTCTTCAGGAAATTCTGGCACTTCAACCTAGAAAGTCAGATTATAAATGTCAGGCTTTAATGTTTTCAAAATGCGGGAATTCATATTCGATCGGAACAACATGAAGTAAACAATTCCTTTAACTCTCTGGTATTCCTCAATTAGGGGCGAGTCACACTCAAAGATAGAAGCGTATCTTCTTTAATAAAATGAATGTACTTTTTTTTGTTTCAATAATATTTAGGGTTTTTTCGGGGTGTATTTCATGGTACTAGATAATATTCACCTCTAACTATGCACCATTTATTTCTATATAAAAACAGTTCATATTTTCAATTAATACAATGTATATATAAGGCTGTGTATTCATTAGTTGCTTATAAGAGTATTTGCAGACATAATTACTTATTTTTATTAAGTTTTGCATATATTTAGACATTAACAAAGACTATTTCATTAAGGTTGATTTGTAGATTGTACCCCAAAAATTGCTCTGTATTTTTTTAAGACCACTTAACTTTTTCTAATCAATTTTTTTGTGTGCTTATATACAGTAGCAAGTGGCACAAAAGTCAAAAAGTTGTAAATTATCCCAATGAAGTACAAAATACAAAACATGAAATAATTGAGTCTAAAACGATCGAAGACCACCAGTCACCGTGATGTTCTCAAGAAAGACATGTTCATGTCTAAGAAACAAAAATGTAGTCCTAACCCTCAGGGGCGGATATTGTGATTTGGGGGCCCCAGAAAAAAAATATAGGAATGGGGCCCTATAATTTTCACCCCAGTATTCATGTTAAAACAGGTTAAACCAGTATTAAAGTAGGTTGGACACTAGGTGGGGTAATTTTCATTGTAATTCTAAACTTTAAAACACATTTATTTTTATTTTAACTACTAATTTAAATGAAACTGAAAAAATAATGAAAAGGAAATTATACATTTACACACTTAATGATTATTTCAACCAAAAATTAAGGACAAATATCTGATGTGTGCAAAGTAACTGCGCATGCATCCTCTACTTGGGTCCTTCACAGAAACGAGTGAGTGTCATTTTAAAACAATACAAATATAATACACAATGTTGCTCACTATTTAGATTCAAATGCATGATATTTTCATTTGCTACATGCAAGATACACAAGAAGCACGGTCAACGTGGATGAACACGCATCTCGTATATAAAAAGCATGTCAGGGGGCCTTTGGTTTTTGGGGGCCCAAGGGGGACGCCTTCCTTTGCCTGGTGAACAACACTGATGTAGAAGCACCAAACCCTGGTTATTAGTCTAAACTTGACATAAACTGTAAACCTGACCCTAAAATCTGATTGGATGATTGAAATGTTGATCCAGGAACATGTTGTACTTGGTGAAATCACATTCACCGATGACCAACAGAGGGTTAAAAAGTGTAATAAATCTATTAAAGCTGCTCACCTTTCTTTTGCACAGGTACTGCAGGATCTTGTCCGGGCTGCTGCGCAGGACATTCTGTTTGCAGAACATAACAGCTGAGACCATCCCATCTTTACAGGACACAAAGCGCTGCTCCAGGTAAAATGACTTGTCGTCCCAGGTGATGATCCGACTGCGCAGCTCAAACGCCTCACCGACACACAGTGGGCGTCTGTAGCGGATGGTACTTGCCCCAACAACCATGTTGGCCCCTAGAGCTCTTGATGCCTTGAACACCCCATTGCGGGTGTATAAAGAGAAACGGGCAAAGTCACACTCGCGTAGGTAGCGGGCGTTGTTCATATGGCAAAGGTCAACGTCATGGAGAAGGACTCGTCCGCCAGCGGTCTGCTCTCCTGTGATGTCAAATACAGGTGAGAGGAACCAGGCCCTGACCACCACAACCACTGCCCGTATATAATACCACACATCCACACTGCAGAACAGGAGTAGCAACACACCCAGAATCCACAGCAGTGTGTCCTCCCTGCCATAGACACAAGTCAAATTACAAGAATAAACAAGAGACATATTAAGCATATGCATGGGTAGCTGACATGCCATATCAGTGATTTAAACTATTTCAAACAACAATTTTTATTTATTTTAGCATTCAAATTATTCTATTTTATTATTACAATTCTATTTTGTTATTAAAAAGTGGCATGTTATTTGTCAGCATTCCACTGAGATGTCTTTCTATGCTGCATGAGAGACTGTTTGCACTCATCTTAAACATTCTTCAAAATATCATCATTTGGGTTCAACAGAAAAAAATAATTTATACAGGTTTGGAACAACCTGAGGGTGAGTAAATGATGACAGCATTTATTTTTGTGTGAACTATCCATTTAAAATCCTGAGATTTTTAGGTTTTTGCTACAAGCCTCATTCAAGTAGAACTAGTTAGGCTGGTTTGTGAACACATTTTAACGAGATTTTTATCTGCTTTTTAAACGTATTTCCAGTATAAGACACTAGAGAATGTATTTGTCGTAGAAAATAAATAATTGTTTTTGATTAATGCATTGGTTAGAGAAACTGATTAAAATCCACACTGCCACTTTAATTTAAATCTAACCCTAAAACTTTAACACAGGTGTTTTGTTTGAGTGAAAACTACAACTATTTACTTGTGCTATTGTGGTACCATTTTACAATAAGCCATTACATTTAGTTAACATCATTAGTTAACATGAACTAACAATAAAACATAGCTCTAAAGTGTTTATTAATCTTACCAATCAAAAGTTGTATATGTTAATTTAACTAATAGACCTGAGGTAACATGGATTAACAAAGAACAGCTCTATTTTTATAACTAACGTTAAGGTTAATGAGTACTGTAACACATATTGCTCATTGTATTTCATGCATTAACTAGGGTTAACTAACGTTATGTTATTGTATGAACTAGCCTACTATTCAGCAAGATCACATTATTTACAACGTTGAAGGAGAATCAGAACTGTCATTTGAACTGTTAAAGAAAACTGTGTGCACCGTGTAAACCTTTGCGAAATCGATTACACATTTACAACGATAAAACTACTGGTTGGAAGTAAATTAACAGTAGTGAAAGTGTCAAACACAGCACTTACATGTCCACGCTGTTACACCAGCTGCTGCGTTACGTTCTTTACGTCCCCAGACTGAACGCACGATGACACGCCCCCTAAATATGACGTAACGTGAAACTGCTCGGAAGGAGTTTGCTAGAAGATTGGTAGATTGGAAAAGGGCCTGGCTTTTACCTGGAACATATTGTATTTCCAATAAGGCAAAGGAAATACATTTAAAAATTGTACCTACATAAAATATACCCTGTCAGTTGTAATAATTTGGATATTTGGACAGAAGCAGAGGAGACATTTGCACATCTGTTTTTTTTGGTTGCCCTATATCCAAACAATTTTGGTCTGACCCGGTTCTCACATATTTGATTCTGCCAATGTTACACTCTGTTTCAGTTTAAACGACATAATGATAATAATAAAAATAGATCCCTGGAGTATATTGTTATTTTTTTAGTTTAGATGCCAAATTCTTCATTCATAAGCAGAAGTTTGCAAATGGTATTCCATCCTATCCCCACTTTGAAAGTGAATTAAACTCCTTCTTAAATCTCCTTAAAAACCTTAAGATTTCTTAAATATTATGAAGAAATATTTAAAGAAAATCCATGTATTTAGAAGCTTTGTATCAGTGTCTGTATTAATACAATTGTAGTGTCTGTGTCCCTCCCTGTCATGTTGT